ATTGATTCAAAGTTTTCTATATAAGAAAAACCATTTGATTGCATCGACTCGTTGACTGGAATGCAATCCCTGACACTACGCACGCTCTGTTTGAAAGTTGCTTTTACCACTTATTTTGATGATCCACTCGGAAAAAGAACATCCTCCACAGCACCTTTAATTGGGTTTCACTAATGTTGCTAAAAAGCTAATTTAATAGGAAAAGGGAAAAAAAAATGTGTCGTTCTTAAAACGTGTCTTACTCTCTCTGTAACAATCCTCGTCAGCCATCTTTTTGTAAGACAATGTGTCTTCACTGCCTACAAAGGGAAAATAAATACAATGATTACTGTCCCCAAAACAAGAATCTGTTGGAAATGTGTCCTAAATGAGGCTGGAGATATTTACCCTCCACAGCTCCGTGCTGACTGGCTGGTTCGGTGGGTCATCTTTGTAGATCTCCTCTATGGCCGTCTTCCAGAACTGCATTCGCATCAGGCCAATGGTCTTCTGGGAAACAGAGTCCTTCACCTGCCAGGGAAAGTAACCAACTCTGTTTGAAATAACTCCTGATCAGACATACGAAACATTTATAACTTTTTTCCAGACTTTAGATTTAGTTTGCTGGGTTTAAATTAGGGCTGCAACTAACGATAATTTTGCAAATCGATTAGTAATTGGATAGCAAAAAGTTCCTTAAAGACGTAGGGAAGCGGCTGTTCCAATGGTTTCAGTTCCAAATTCTCCTGAGTGGAGCCCCACTTACACGAGTGAATAAAGTGAATGTGATTGGTTGTTTTTTAAGGGGACAGGATTGTTGTGACGAAAGGTTCACGTGCAAGTTTTGTTGTGGCTGGTTTTTTTGAAGCATCTTGCTAACCAGTTAGCAACTTAGTGCTAGTAGGTTACCAATGGGAAATTCCATTGGGACCAAGTAGCACTTAATTGGTGACTTAGAAACGACGCTGTCAAGGAACACTATGGACACATGCAAGAGGAGGAGAGTTTAGTGTCGGAGGTCGTGGATGAGTCTCCTACGTCATCCATTTTTTATTTGGAGGAGGAAAG